GCTTAGATTTTGCAACTTGCAAAGAAAAGGTAACTCTATCTGCCATGGATTCATATTGTTTGATGATGCGATGTGCCAAAGCAGACGCATTGTTACACTTTTGAATTTCCTGGTGACTGAACTAAGGGTGACCACGGTTCGGTTCGAACCTGCCCAGAACCGGATCAACGGTTCAGTGGTTCCAAACTGAACTGGAGGTTCCGATTCCTAGAAATTGGAACTGGAACCAGAACTGGCAGATCCAAACCAAATAAATATGAAAAAAAAAGGAATAAAACATAAATAAGTTGTATGGTGTAGTGGTTATTTTTTTTTTTTGCTTTTTAATTTATTTTTTTTGTTAGTACTTTAAGCTTAAAGCCTAATGACGTGAGGTTGAATCTTGGAGTAATTTATTTTTTTTGTTTTTTAATCAATCGAAACCGGTGGACTGAATCAGAGCTGAAACTACCTAGAACCGGTCCGGGTTCCGGTTCTCAATTTTGCAGAATCGAAACTGCGGTTCCAGAACCGGTCACCTCCTAGCTGAACCTTAAAAAGGAACTTTTTTATGCAACTAATAGACATTCTTTTTTAAGATGGTGCATTTTAACATAACAGAGGATAGTGATGCTATTAGGAGGGATTTATGTTGTTCTTAGCCACCTACAATTGAGAAGAAAGATCCTATATATGATATTCATATGTCTATAATTTCTGACACTCCTTCAGTTATAGTTAATATTGAAAATGGGAAGGAGAAAGAGTATGTGGATTAAGATGTAGGATTATTATAAATCTGCTTCGTTATGCCAGTGAGGACAGGGATTTCTTGTAACTTAAACTGGTCATTACTTGCAAGCAAACGCCCTCTTTGTGTAGCAAATACTCTCAAAACATGAATATCTTCGCTTAAGCATGTACCACTTATATGTGCTAACTATTGGATCTTTTTTAAGTCCAATTAAATATGAACTTTGCATGTACACAGATTCAGTTTGTGGTTTAGAAATATTACTCAATGATCATATTTCATGGGTATGCCACTAAATTTCATGCTCTTTTTTTCTCTTTCACGTTCAACAGGTTTGAGAAAAAAATCAGGTATGCTTTGCGCAAGGCTAGGGCAGATGGCAGAAAACGGGTGAAGGGGCGCTTTGTCAAAGCCGGTGAAGCTTACGACTACGATCCACTCTCCCAAACAATCTGTTGAGTACATCAATATTTTGGTGACTATGATGTTAATCTTTATTTATATATTTTGAGAAACCGAAAACTGACATCGGTTGCCCATCATCCATTATGAAGGATTTAATGGAACAGAAGATTAGCAATCTGACAGCAACCGGATATGCTGGATATAGAGTTAGTGCTTTCTAAGCTACGTAGGTAAATCTCCAGATTACAAATATTGTATTCAAGGATGACCACATTAATCTTGCACATGGTTGTCCTTCAATATTTCCCTGAACAGAGGCTGGTGCATATATGTGCTAAAATTTTGGAGAAGGAAAGCACTTGACCAGTCCGTTCAAGAGCTGGTATCAGTTCATTGGCATTGGTGTGCCATGAGCTCCCTGCAGTGCCTCGATGCCAGATTCGGTTTCACTTCAGATGACTACCATAAAAAGATGTGTAGATAACTATACTGATTGAGAACACCTTGTATCTATCTTTCTATTCACTAGTGAAAGTATACTAGTTGTATATGCATCAAGAGGATCGGAGAGAAACTTACTTTTTCACTTGTAAATATATATACCTTTTAAGCCATGGCTTCAGGGCTATGAAGCTTGCTTTCCTGCCCCAGAGACATGCTTTGAAAATACAGTGTCTTTACACCAGTGCTTCTTTCTACTAGATGTGTGTTTTCACAGCTGTTGAGAGTGAGAATGCTATGATGCATCCATGATTTCCCAGCCTGATGCTAATGTTACAGTTGTTCTTATTATACACTCATTTAAAGCAGCTTGGTCCAGGAGCAAATCCTTCTCTGGCATTTACCACGGACCCATCCAAGACACATTACGCTCCGTGGATCCCGCTGTTCTTACCTGCAAGCAATCTTGAGAACAGACGAGTTATGTGGCCATCACATCATCAATGAATGATTTCTTAGTGTAAGATGGGCCACTAAGACCTCTCTCTTCTGGAAACTACCCGTAAGTTGCTCCGATATGTTAATCTTGTGAGCCATATCTAAAATCAAAATGTCATTTTTCTTTCTTCTCATCGTCGACTATTTTCTCTATCAAGATCCAAAGACATACGGGCATCGATCGTATGATTATTTTTTCCTTCAAATATATATATATTTTTTTCTACATTGACTTTGAGAATCCAATAATACTTATACAAAACTAGAATAAGATAATATAATACTTATACAAAGCTAGAATAAGATAATATAATGCTTATACAAAACTAGAATAAGATAATATAATACTTATACAAAACTAGAATAAGATAATATAATGCTTATACAAAGTTAGAATAAGATAATATGCATCTCGGTTGTCACCCATTCTCTTGTTAGAATGAGACAATGAAACCAAAGGCTAAAAATTTTTTTTACCTACCTTATATATGGGTGTAACTGTAATGCAAGGAATCTGAACACTCTTAAAGAATCGTCAGTTAGTCGGTCACTATCATTATTTTCTTATGGTAAAAAATCTAATCACATCTTTCGTAATAAAAGAAGACGAAAAAGAAGAAGAAAAAATTAGTCTGTCACTGTCATTATTTTCTTATGGTAAAAAATCTAATCACATCTTTCGTAATAAAAGAAGACGAAAAAAAAGAAGAAAAAATTAGTCTGTCACTGTCATTATTTTCTTATGGTAAAAAATTTAATCACATCTTTCGTAATAAAAGAAGAAGAAAAAATTAGTCGGTCACTATCATTATTTTCTTATGGTAAAAAATCTAATCTAATAAAAGAAGAGTTGTGTATATGGATGGAGAAAAAAGAAGAGTTCTTTAAGGGTTTATATTTAACTTAATTGTTTCTTTTGGTTATTTGATGGGTTTATGGTTAACCGTCTGTCTTTTAGGCCGATATCACCTCAATCATAAGCTATCTTCCATCAAAGTTGTGTATATGGATGGAGATAAATAAATGAGATGCCGGCAAAGTTTCATGGATTGACTTTTGCGATTGATGCAGCCAATTGAGATTGTTTTATATAGCACGAGTACCGCAGATAAGACTTTTGCGACGCCACATTCGAGGTGTGGTAGTGTGGAAGCGAAGGAACGAGTGTGCCGATGACTGACTTTTTCTCTTACCTCCCTCCATCGCAAGTAAGCATATCCTCCCTCCATCGCAAGCATACAAACTCGTAGAACGCTAGTAAGTCTCAGTAGTAAGACACACACCAACTCACGTTTTTTGTGGATCACATCCTCTTTTCGATGGATTGACCTTCGTTTGTTCCAGGAATAATGTAAAAGGAAGACATCCTCCATATACATGAGAATGTTTAGCATCGAGACGTCGCTGCAATTTGAGAACATTACTCCTTGATTTTGTGTCCTAACGAGCAAAAACATCAAAACGTAGCATACGGCCAAAGTAATATAATTTTTTTCTTGTCTAGAAAAAGGAAGAAAAAGAAAGATAGATATAGGTGTGACCATGCAAATGGGTGCTCTACTTGTGCCGTGGCCACAGGCTTATTAGCTCTTGGGTCGACCGGAGGATGCTTGTGTGAAGTTTGACCTCGTGACTACATCGCTCTTCTCTTTCTTTTCGTTTGCGTTGACCGAAAATGGGCGAAGAGGTGGTGGTGGTGGTGGTCACGTTCGAGAGGATGCGACTAAGACGAGAGCTTTTCCTTCGATGGTCATCGAAATAACAAGAGAAGAAGAGTAATATTCCTCCCACCACCACCACCTCTTCTCTCCACGTTTTGTTGCTTCCTTGGCATGCGCACCACTCGAATGAATGGTAGCTTCACGTCGGATCATCAACCATCCCCATCTTATCTCATGTGATAGAGATGATGCAAAAATAGTGGGGACGAATGAATGAATTAATGAGAATTAATAGGTATAATGAGAATTTTTGTCTCCAAGCAGACTACATCTTACACGTATAATAAATAGGTATTATTAACAAAAGAGAATTCCTAACCGCAAGAGTGACTTATGCACTTAATAGTTGGTTTAATTGTAATAATAATAATAATAATAATAATAATAATAATAATAATAAATTATTAAGTGAGGGTAGTTATGATTAAATTAAGCAAAGTATAACAAATATTATTTTTTATTTATTAATAAAAAGAAAGATCCTTTACTCTGATCAAAAAAGCATTTTTAGCTAGAAATTCTCTTCTTTAAAATTTTATAATTACTTTTTATCTTAAAAGCAGCAAAGTGAGAATTCTTTAACTTAAAAAGAAGGCAGATAATTAAAAGCTCATTGTTCATTTTCCTATTTCTTTTATTATAATCGAGCCCCTATTTATTTATTTATGTATTATTCAAGAGCTTTGAGCATCTTCTTATTTTTAACGTCCTTCTGCTCGCCGGCTTAACTCACGACTCGAGGGCCGGGCGCTTCCGCATCGGCGGATCCGAATCGTGATCAAAGTCGGGTTGCCGTTCCCCAACGGGCTCTTTAGGGCTTTTTTGGTAATTCGTCCGGGAAAGGGAAATAATAATTCTTTTTTTGTTTTGTTGTTGTTTCGGCTTCCTTTCTCGTCCATACTCCGTCTGATTCTTCCACGCGTCTTCATCAGCTCGTTGATTGGACGGCGGGCCCATTCCAGTGAGCTGGCACACGTGAATTGGGTCTACCGAGTCCCTTTGGCCCGAGATTTAGGAATCTAATCCGAGAGATACGTCTTGCTCCTCTCTGTGTACCCGATTTTTCATTGGATAAGCCATCGGGGCCCCTATGGGACCCGATTCCAGTGTGAGATAAGTTACGTCCGTGATAGGTTCAAGAATCATTCTCCGTCCACAATCCAACCGCGGTTAGAGGTCAGAGAGGGGGAGGAGAGAGAGAGAGAGAGAGAGAGACGTACGGATTGCCAGACCGCGTCAGTAGTGTCATGATATTACGCCACCGACGCCGAATCCTCCTTCCCTTCTTCATCCCTCCAAAGGCGACAAGCCCTTCATCTCCTGGATCGCAATGCGGAGGAACGGCAGAAGCCAATCCACCTCTGCTGCCTCCTCTTGACATCTCCGGACGCATAGTCTGTTCCGCCGCCGTAATCGCCTGCCGAGTCCCTCCAAATCCAGCCTGTCGCCTCTTATTGCCTCCCATCAATATACCAAGTCCTTTGGTCTTATTTGGGCATCTCGCCGTGGCTTATTGCGGTTGGAGATCCTTCGTTGCTGCATGAGCCAGCAGCAGGTGGTTGCCTAACGTGGGAAAAAGATCCTTTTTTTGGCAATTTGTTTCTGGGTGGATTTTAGTTTGAAAAGATAATTTTCGATTGGAAGATTGGAGTGTTTTGCAAAGGCGATATAAAGTGTTTCGGAGTTTTGATTCATCCTGCGAAGCTGCATTAAGTGCTAAGGTGAGATTGATTGGTCTATCGTCGATGTTGAAGGAAAATAGAGGGAAAAAAAAGGCGTCTTTTCTGGTTTTAGATGAGGTTTCGACGATTGGAGAGGGAAGGGATTTGTTCTAGAGTTGTTGTATATGGGGCGCGGTGCATATTGGATTCAGAGGATGTGTCGGTTCGAGAGGGCGATGGGATCTGAGTGCAGAGGAGAAAGGCACCACGGGATGAAGCCCGGAGGCGAGGGGAAGGTGGAGAAGCTGAAGAGCAGGTCCAAGCTAAAGCTTTGGATGATCAGGACGATGACGACGGTGCTGCTGTGGACCTGCGTCCTCCAGCTGACGGCCCTGGGTGGGACATGGGGGCCGAGGGTCTTGAAAGGTTGGCCATCTTGCTTTACCCCCTCGTTTTCGCCGCTCTCCTTGAAACAAGTCACTCCGGTTGTCGAGAAGATCGTCCTTCCGCCCAAAAGTGAGTTCTTTGTGCCCATCTCATCGATCAACAAAGAAAACCTTTACCATTAATTAGTTTTCAGCATCATGTTTTCCCTTGCTATATAAATAATAGTACCTATAGATTTTTAATACATTTAGTTGCTTTGATCACTTTGTTATATGATATATAAACGGGAGATTGATTCAAAACAAAAGAATTAAAGTTTGATTTCTTGGCACATCATGTGTTTGTTGATGAAATCTGTTCTCTTTGAATTTGGGTTTTGATTTTAGCATTAGGTTCCCTGTTCTGTGCTAATTTCTAGTACAACCCTATTGGTTCCTTACTTCATATCTATGACAAATTAAGGGTATTGAGGTGATACCTTGTGCTCTTTCATCGTTTCTTTCTTTTTTTCTTTTTATTAATTAGCTTAGCAATAATTGGTGTACCATCAATTTCGAGCTGGCTATGTGCTCCAAATTTCTGGCTGGTCCCCACCGAAAGGTGAGACTCCGAAATAGGATATTCTATTCGTTTGCTACTATTTGTGTTTAATCCCTTCGTGGTGGCACAATTTTACCTTTAAATCATCACTAATGATGTAATCTCTACCTTATGGTGACATGCCCATGTATGTCATGCGCATTTTTTGAGTCATTTGACAACCTTGCTATCGCTAAAATAATGTAATTTTTACCTATGTTAATTAAATATATGGTGAAGCTTACTTTTTTGGTTGGATTTGATTGTCCTGACTCTTGCCGATATTTGATATAGTTATTTTCTCATTTGGAATTTCTGATGCATTCATGTATAGGAATCTACAGAAACAATGGGTATGTAATGGTCTCATGCAACGGTGGGCTTAATCAGATGCGAGGAGCGGTAAGGATTCAATTAAACTGTTAGTGGTCAATTTCGAATTTGTTTTGCTCCCATCTCAAGCAATTTGATGTTCCATCTGCTTTGCAATTTACTGATGACACGATAATGTCTTCAGATTTGTGATATGGTTGCTATTGCAAGATATTTGAACGTGACACTCATAGTACCAGAATTGGATAAATCATCATTTTGGGCCGATCCTAGGTGTGTATGTCCTTCTAACCTAATATCTCATAGGGTTGGTCTTTCATAACTTGATGAGATAGATGCAAACTTGACCTTTTATTAATACTTACTAGAACTATTCATTGCTTGATGTGACAGTGAGTTCCAAGACATTTTTGATGTTGACCATTTTACCGCTTCGTTGAGAGATGAGGTAAGAATTTTAAAAGAATTGCCACCAAGACTAAAAAGGAGGGCTGAGCTGGGAATGGTGTACTCTATGCCACCTGTTAGCTGGTCTGATATCTCTTATTACCAAAATCAGGTCGGTATGCCTTTCTAATCATGATAGGAAACAGAGGTATTTAATAACAATGATATTACAGGTCTTCTGACTGTAATATTTATCTTGCAACCAGATTCTTCCTTTGATAAAGAAGCACAAGATTGTGCACTTCAACAGGACAGATGCAAGGCTTGCCAATAATGGTCTGCCTTTAGAGATCCAGAAGTTGCGTTGCCGAGTGAACTATGCTGCTCTGAGATTCACCTCTGAGATTGAAGAGTTGGGGAGGCGGGTAATCAGAATTTTGCGTCAAAATGGCCCTTTTTTGGTTCTCCATTTACGATATGAAATGGACATGCTGGCTTTCTCTGGATGTACTCATGGTTGCACTATTGAAGAGGCAGAAGAGCTGACAAGAATGAGGTATACATATTTCTTTGTTTTGTGCTTTTCTGGTGGATTGTTTAGGTTTTGATGAGTGACTTCGAGTAGCTAATCATCACAGATATGCATATCCGTGGTGGAAAGAGAAAGTTATCAACTCTGAACTGAAAAGGAAAGATGGTCTCTGCCCTTTAACACCAGAAGAAACTGCTCTGATTTTGGGGGCACTGGATATTGATCGCAATATCCAAGTGTATATTGCTGCGGGAGAAATATATGGTGGAAAAAGGAGAATGGCTGCCCTTTCTGATGCTTATCCAAATGTGGTGAGTGTAAACTGTAGTTTTTATTCAGTTATCTACCTTTTGGTTTTTATTTTGCCCGATTAATTTTTAAATTGATGAACAGGTGAGGAAGGAAATATTGCTAGGGCCCTCGGACCTTGGATATTTCCAAAATCACTCCTCACAAATGGCAGCATTAGATTATATGGTTTCTTTGGAGAGTGATGTCTTCATACCTACATATGATGGTAACATGGCTAAAGTGGTTGAGGGCCATCGCAGGTACTTCTATTCGTGTCTCATCACCGATATCTATTGGCCAATCATGGACCTTATTTGTTTGATTCACTCTAGACTTGGCTAATTCGATGGATGAAATTTTCTCTTCATCCATGTAGGTGGTACCACAGTTGACAATCATCTGATAAAATGTTACATAGGACCACCAGATCTCTGTTGTATTGACACACAAAAGCTTCTCTATTATGCCAGCAAAAAATGCCTTTGTAGTGTTAGCATACCAGAACCCTTGTAGTAAAATGTCTGAGATGAGTATATTAAACCTTGAGTATGCAGATGTTAAAACTGATGCTATATCCGGAGAAATGAAAACCAGTGTTACGTTGAATTCTTAATATCAGATTGGATCTTTTTGTTGAGTATAATTTATAAAAGGTATTGTCCAGCCAATTCCGACCAGTTGAGGAGTTATCTGGCATGATACTCTTTCTTTTTTTCGGAAGTAATAGTGGCTTAGATCCTCCACCTCTTAGCATTTATCAAAGGTCCTAGCACAAGACTGGAAAAAGTTGTTTCTTTTGCTTATTATTTTACATTTTTCTCGATCAAACTGGGATTTCTCTAAGATTATATCTTTCCTTTATATAATTTGCAGATACTTGGGTTTCAAGAAGACTATTACTTTGGATCGAAAGCTCCTGGTTGAGCTGATCGATCAGTACAACAATGGAACATTAGGATGGGATGACTTCTCTTCATCAGTTAAGGCAACTCATGCTAACCGAATGGGAAGGCCTACCAGAAGAGTGGTGATTCCTGATAGACCCAAGGAAGAGGACTACTTCTATGCCAATCCCCAAGAGTGCCTTCAACAGCCTGATAAGCCATGGACATCGCTAGTTCACCATGATGGTACTAATCTATCGAGAACACCATTAGCCTAATCCTTCATGAAGGTTATCCACGTCGACCAAGATTGAAAAAGAGGAGATTTTGCTTCGAAAGGACTGATGCAATGCAAAGAGGTTGTTGCATCCGAGGTTCATTCGTGCAGCTGCTGAATATACATATTTATTACATATCTTTTTAATTCTTTAAAATAAAACCAATTCTTGTATAGAAAGATGACTGTGTTCAACTAAGAGAAGAGCAGGATCACACCGAGGTAAATATTCAGTTGCATGTACAGGGCAGGAGATGGAACAGAGAATTATCAACTATCTATCTATCTATCTATCTATCTATCTATCTGAATTCAGTACCTTGTTGAAAGTTAACCCCTTTTTCTATCTCTGATGGTATTGAATCACTTGCAAATCAGACTTTTATTCCAGTGGATGGAGTTAAATGGTGAAAAAGAATTATTACATGGTTAAATTGTGTATTAATATGGTGATCGGTTAAATTGTGTCTGTGCGGTTTAGCTACTATGAAGCCCTTGTCATAAAACTCATGTATGTTCATTGAGTAGACGATACATATACTGAACTCTCTTTTGGCACAGATTACAGGAAAAGTATTCTGGTGATTTGGATCGTGTAGATGCTTGGAATCTTTGAGGTAGTAAATTTTGTCTTAATCACTACTGCATGCTAAGATTGTGAAAAATGTTCAACTTTACATCATGCTTTTGATGCAATGGAGTTATTGGGATCCCTGATTGGTTCTTGCTTCGACTGTCTACCCCACGAGGTGACTTCAAATCTTTCAACTGTGTGCATGATTAGTTTTAAGATATCGATAAAGTGTCAAGCACAATTTGACAGTATCATATGCTCAAGACAGCGGTATTATTTTACGTGGATGGCTATGCGATTCATCCATCCACCAATCAGCGTCCACCATCGGGTGCGGGGTCCATGCGACACCAATGAAATGTATCTGGTGCCTGCGAAGGACCAGCTGATCCAAGTCACGGTCAACCGGCGCCGATACGTTTGACTCGGGAGGCGTGTGGGTTATCTTTGGGGTCACGGACCAATGGGCGGCGGGCGGCAGTGCGACTCACGGGGAACGAGCTGCTGTGAAGTGGACACAACATTTGCAATCACCGAGAACACGACAGGTATAAAATACTCCGAGCATCACGTATATGACACTCGAATCCTGTGTATGTTGTCTTCTCGAGAAGAGATCACACCGAAGCACATGAATGCTTTCGATCACCAGTATAAGACAGGAGTCGAACAGGATCTTTCGAGGATTGTTATTGCTAACCTTTTTATCAGAAAGAGCAATCAACGTATTTGTAGGGGAAGGAATAGTCTACATTGCTTGGCGATCGAGTTCTTCGCATCCGCTCATTCTGAGAAAGAACTCAGGAATCGAGTTATGAGGAACTAGCAAGCATTGTAGGAACTGTCAATGGTATAGAACTCAGTGAAGAACGCTTTGTGGGAACTCTCAATGTTTTTTTGTGCTTGATTTAGATGGCAATAGCAGCAACATACTTACTGGGGAAAGAATAGTTTATGCTGCATTATGATTAAGTTGTATTTACAGGAATGGATTTCCAAGATATGGCAAGTAAGAGGTAAGCGGGCAGGAATCGCGTGCATTTGGTTGCTTGAGGAAGCTGGCTTTAACTTTCTGTAAGCAAATCAGAAGTGTGCATCTAAAAGACCTTCTCATGAAGAGAATGTTAATTTGGATATGTCTCGAGTTATGAAATTTACTTAGCTTTTCCATATAATAAATAGCATAAAATTAACTGTGGAGCTAATGGAGTGAGATAACAATGGGAGAAAGCTGCATCTCCTTGGTGGTGGCATGCAATCGTCTGAACTTGGGACTTCTCTCCAAACATGTTTTGAAGTCGTATTTGTAGAGATCATACTGCAATACCAATGAGCTTTCCTTAACTGCGTTATGTAATACATCTGTCTTGCTTTACCAACAGCACAAGTTGCATGGGAGAGGGCCACATAAAACCTACGCTAGAGTAACCTTGTGTGCACCGGAGAAATGCTTAGCAGCGGTGACCATGGCTGCCTCCGGCCCAGGGGACGCCGCAGCCGATCCTGGTTTAGCTCCACGGGTACAGTCGGCCGGAAAGGAAACGAGCCACGACGTTAACGCTGATAAGATTGACCGGCGGCCACTGTCGCTATCCATTGCTTCACCGATCAGTGGCAAGCTAAGATTTATGATTCAGGTCCAGACAACAAAGCTAGAAGAACTTGGAAGAGGAGTGAACTCAACGAAGAAGGCTTTTGTAGGGAGAATAAATAGATTGCATCGCTTGATGATCAAGTTCTTTGGCATTCCTTCTTGGGAATCAAGTTTGAAGAACTAGGAAGCGTTTTGACTTTGGACTTCGATACAGGAGATAAGGAAAGTGCAATAGATTTTGTCATTGTCGTCTGCTGATGTTAGAAAAGTCAGCTTCTTGACCACAGTCGTAGTCAATGTCATATGCTTTCTTGGAAGCTGTCTCCATGGCATAAACATGAACTTGCACTTAAGAGTGAGTCGAGTGAAAGAGGTCCTCATGGAAGAGAACTTCATCCAACAAAAAACTATTTATTAAATTTTCGATTACTGTGACTGATATATTTGTTTTTTGTTTTTTTATGGGGGATATAAAGAAAAGCATGAAATTAATGGACTAATCTGTGTTGGAAGAGAGAGCTGGCTATGTACCTCTGTGAATATCCAAGCAATAAGTAGGAAGAAGTTGCATGCACTTGTAGATTGAGGAACATTTGATTGATTGTTAGTGGATAGAAGAGAATAACTTATCACAAAGAAATATTATGAGCTGACAAGAGAAAAGCATTCTAGAGAATCAATATTGACAATATCAAATTTCTTATGAAACAACATGAATACAAAGCTAATCAATTTTTAACAGTAAGATTATACAGATATAGCTACTTCATGCCTTATGTGTTATACCACTCTAAATATTAGTTTCTTTTAATACTATAGATGAACAAAAAATAGTTATGGAGGGTAAACAGAAACATTAATATATGGTAAGGATATTCACTCTTTAAGAAAACTTTCTCCACTTGAGCTTGTGATGTTTCCACAAGTTTTACCTTGTGATGTGAGATGAATCATTCTTGTAATCAACTACTTTTGATTGGGAACGAGTCGCTGCATGCATGTAACACAGTCTCATGTTGTTGTTTGGAGCAAAACTTGCTGTCAATTATTGTACCAATAATTACAAGCATACCCATCCATAACACAAGTTTGTAAGCATAAAGATAGCAGCAGTAGAAGCTACATTGGCATAGGAGATCTCGAAAACTTATGGCACTTGTTGCTGCCCATCACTTCACCTATCACTGCCAAGACAGGAAGCATAGTACTTCAAGTTAAGCCGACACATGCAAGAACAAGTTGGGATAGAAGAAGACTGGAGTGTCGTTGAGGCAGTGGGAAATGTATCCAGATGTCGGCAAGCAACATGTTTGTAGCACAAGGATCAGTTTATACTGCTTCGTGATCATGTTTCTAGCTCCCCTTTTCCAGTGAGAGAACGCAGGCAGGCACAAAGACATTGCAACTGGCATCGTTGTCTGCCGAGGAAGGCAGCAAGCTTTGCAGCACGCATGGATCGATCGACCTTTATCATCACCCAGCTGCTTGGCCACAGTTTCAGTCCACTGTTGTGTTCTTGTAAAGCTGTGTCAGCTTCATGAGCATGGACCAACAACCACAAACATTATGCACTGAAAGAGATTCCAACAAGAAGTGAAAGGTACACCTACCCATACTTGGCTACTGTGCTATTCGTGTCATCGCTTTGTTTACGATAAGCTCTCACTAGTCATCGGAAATAAAAGATAATTTGTCGGGAAGTGGATCTCATATATCTATCTATCTATCTATCAATTTATAAATAAAATAAAAGATACTTCTTTGAAAAATTGACAAGGTTTTCTTCGAGATTAATAGTCCAACACATTGTTCCCACAACCAACATGTCCCAAAGCATTTGCCCCGACTTGAAAGAAAGTTGTCTCTTTCAGTTGCCATAGGGTTCACCAAACTCAAAGCCAAAAGAAAAGATAATAATTAATTCCCATCACAAATAGATAGAACAGAGCTTCATGAGTTAGATACATGTTCCTGTCATATCAACATCACCTACCTTCCTCTGCCGAACAACTTGCGAGCCTCTGCCTCCTCCCTTCCCAACCGCTACGCAATCGAGTTTCTATGGGCGCCAGTGTCAGGACAATCTGCCATCATTTTTGACTCAGAGCTTCATGGATTATTAAACCCGAGATTGGCTATGGTGTGGAGTCAACTGCGAAGAGGACTCGAGAGGCATTCATAAGCAAGGAAATGATACTATTTCAGTAGGCTCTTATCTGAAACAGTGGTTTAATCTTTCTGGTTTCTGTCCCTCTTAATTTCGACCAGAAAGAATGCGTGTGCGTTCCCCCCATTTAAAGGTCCATAAACTCCCATCGATGTCTTCGTTCCAGCGAGAGCAATAAGTGGAAATAGGAGCAGCAGGCGTCACCCATGGAAACATGCGGTGTACGAGTTGAGGCAACTCGCCCGGGAAAATTACTCCGGGCGATCTGGATGTTGCGGGACCCACACCCGTGGTCCTTTTATTATACTTTTCTGATGGATTTATCGGGTAATTTTTCCAACCACAAACGTTTCCCACGCGATCCCTTACGCTCATGACTCTGTTTCGGCGCCATGTCAGCGCGTAAGGACCTTCCGTGCGCTTCGAGCGCGTGCGCAGAGGCAGAGCATTAAAAAGCTCACTGATAAGGCGGTAAACTAACCGCATTGCATCCAATTCCTTCTACCCACGCGGCTCAATGCCATCCGTCAGATCATTCTAACCCGTCAATCCAACAGATTCGACGTAACCTGTCCCTCCTTCTAGAGGCTTCCGATCCGCACGCTGGGAAAGAGAGTTACGGTTTCGTGCAATTAATACACAATTAATCGCGGCTTAAAGCTTTAATCGAGAGAAGGGTTTTAGCTGTGTGAGCCTGAGGCTCATATTACCACCTCTCAATAAAAGCCTAGTGGGTGAGGGACGAGTTGGGGGCGAAGGAGCGGATCCTCCGCCGTGGTGTCGACCCCCGGATCTGATTCCTGTCGTCGGTCGCCGTGGACCTGGAGCCTGCCTTCTCTCCGGCGAGATCTCCCCGCCGGTGAGTTGCTTCGCGCAGACCTAGGCGCGATCTCCACACATCGGTCTCTCGCTTGGTTTCTAGGTGACTTCTTCTGCGATCTTATCGCGTGGTCGTTCGTAATCTCGCGAGGTTTGCCAGATCGTTGGGGTTTCGCTTATTTTGTTGCTTTTTGCCGATTCTTTTGGCACAATGATAGGTTTTCAGGGGTCGAGTTGGTCTCTACGTAGGAATACTAGGGTTTGGTCTAATTTGGTTAGATGCTGCCGATTTCTACTTAGATCGACATTCTTTGCCAGCGGATGCGTCATGAAACATATCCTTTGGTTCTCGAGCAAAGAAACGTTAAAGTAAGCTGGATCGAGCGCTTCCTTCAGTATTTCTCTTTGGTTTTGATGGTCTACCTTTTCTTGCGGACAAAATAGCAAGGATTCTTCGCGGTTTTGGTTTGAAGAGCTTTGTGGCGTTTGTCAGTGAAGCAGTTGCACTCTTTTCATTGTTAAGTGAATATTCCTAACCCTTGCTTGTTATCTTTCAACAACTGAAGAAACGCATAGATCTGTATTGGATATTTGATTTGTTAATTTCACGTGTTTTGATGTCTCACTTGTTTCGTTGATTTATTATATATTTTTTGTTTAGAGACGTCAGTATTTTGGGGCATGGATAAGCGTATCTACAAAACATTTGGTTTTGGCTAATGTGTTTGTCGCTGCTACACTAAACACATCATTTTGTGACTATAAGTGAAGGAGACGAAAAGGATTTATGGCGAACATTTCAAGTTGATTTTTTACTATGGTAAAATGCATTTCTTTTCTTTTCTTGTGATCAACAGCTGCGTATTTGGTCCTTGGTTGACCTCCGGTGTCTTTGTTGTTTCTGTAATATCGGTTATACATCCAGTTTTTGTTCTCTAATTTTTTGTAGAGTCATGCCACGGAAATGAAGAACTCATCCCACAAAAATGAAGTTAGTTTTGTTCTGGCCTTCATATGGTGTGCATGTCTTTTCCTTGTCTTCTTTAACTTCTTTTTAGTTATCTCACGAAAATATGTATGCTACGATTTGCTTGGATTGTCCAAAGCAGTCAATTGCTTAATTATGCTAACCGAGTTTTATTATCCTAGTACCCATAATGTGAATGCTCTTTTTGACAGGTCTTGACTTTTCACATGAGCGTAATGTCCAATTAAGGTGGGTTTTCCGATGTAGGGTGGTCGTGCATCTCTATCTACACTGGCACTGCCTTCTAATTCTGATGTATGGTTTGTCGGTCCAGTAATACTTTCCTACTTAATGAACGATCCTGCATCACATCTTCTTCTCTCTACTATCGCGTCAACCTCCGTGTGTGGCGTGTGCTCAAGAGAGAAGAAGAGGAAGAAAAAGAAAAGCATCTTCTTTGCTGCAACCTCTGTTTGTAGTAACTGCAGATCCTGCATATTCCATGTCTCCTAACTTGGACAGCCCCATTAAGACCCAGATGGCAGTTTCAATCTTAAGTCGCACCACCAGCAGTGACTACCATGGGAGTAGCCAAAGCGAAGGAAAACAAGGTGGGCGGAGACGTGTGTTTGTCCAAACTGAAACTGGCTGTGTACTGGGTATTGAACTGGATCGTGGAGATAATGCCCACACCGTGAAAAGAAGGTTGCAAATTGCTCTCAATGTGCCTACTGAGGAGAGCTCCCTCACCTTTGGTGATCTTGTGTTAAAAAATGATCTCAGTGCTGTCCGGAATGATTCCCCATTACTTCTTACCAGGAATGCCCTGCACAGAAGTTCCTCTACACCGTGCCTCTCTCCCACTGGAAAGGACATTCAGCATAGGGATCGGAGCAGTCCAATTGAAATTTTAGTGTGCTCAAGCCGCTGCTCTCGCACCCGACAGCTGGTTAAGGATGTCATGAACGCTATTAGAAATGGCGTTGACCCTATACCAGTTCACAGTGGGCTTGGTGGTGCCTACTACTTCAGGAATGTCAGAGGTGAATGTGTTGCAATTGTGAAGCCTACAGATGAAGAACCATTTGCACCAAATAATCCTAAAGGTTTCACGGGGAAGGCCCTTGGGCGACCGGGCCTGAAAAGGTCTGTGCGAGTTGGCGAGACTGGATTCAGGGAAGTTGCTGCGTACCTCCTGGATTATGATCATTTTGCCAATGTTCCCCCAACAGTCCTTGTGAAGGTCACTCATTCAGTTTTTCATGTGAACGAAGGTGTTAATTGCAATACTAGTGGGAAGGCTGTTGACAAGAAGCGTAGTGCTGTCAGCAAGATAGCATCCTTTCAGCAGTTTGTTCCTCATGACTTTGATGCTAGTGATCATGGGACCTCCAGTTTTCCTGTTGCGGCTATACACAGGATTGGTATACTTGATATTAGAATTTTTAATACTGACAGGCATGGCGGAAACCTTTTGGTAAGGAAACTTGAAGGGGTGACTGGTAGAGTTGGGGCCCAGACGGAACTTGTTCCAATCGATCATGGTCTCTGCTTGCCAGAGAGTTTAGAGGATCCGTATTTTGAGTGGATCCACTGGCCACAGGCATCAATCCCTTTCTCTGAGGATGAGCTCAAGTATATTGCTGACCTTGATCCGGTCAAAGATTCTGAGATGCTTCGTATGGAGCTGCCCATGATCCGTGAAGCATGCCTTAGAGTTTTGATCCTGTCAACTATTTTTCTCAAGGAAGCAGCTGCATTTGGGCTTTGCCTTGCAGAGATTGGTGAGATGATGAGCAGGGAATTCAGAGGAATGGAAGAAGAGCCAAGTGAACTGGAAGTTGTGTGCATTGAGGCAAGACAGTTGATAGCAGAAAGAATAGTATTTTCTCCAGTAGCCAATCCAAATGATGATGATGCGACTCTGTTTGACATTGACTATGAAGAAGCTGATCTGGCAATGCCAAAATCACCAGCGTCTTATGCTTTTGGACAAAGAGGCAGAAGCTCCAAAAACCCGCTGTCAAGATTGGAGGAGAGTTTGGAGGAGCAGGAAGATGATGAGCACATGGAAAGCAATGTGAAGAGCACTTGCTGCCCATCTGCCTGTGAATGGCATCCGCATTTTTCAAAGCTGTCCACATCTTTGAAGGGCATAGCTCTTGCTGGAAAGAGTCAGCGATGCCTGGTTGGTGCTCCGAGTGCTAATTTTACTTGTAGTAAAATTAAAAATAGTGGTGGTGCTAGTAGGTCTCAGGTTGGTAATAGTAGGAGTGCCAACGAACAGCTGCCTGCAAATGTGAACTTTGTGAAGCTGGCTGACATGGGGGAGGAGGAGTGGTCAGCATTCCTGGAGAAGTTCCAGGAGTTGCTCCCAGGTGCATTCCGTAGTCGGAAATGTGGTGCTGCTGGCCAGAGGCAGAAGCAGAGGTTGGGCACTTCTTGCCAGTTTTGAGTAGAAGGTAGATATGGCAGGGTTGACGGCTGGTTTGCAGTCCAGTAGCGGTTGTTTGTGTGAGCCCTTTTCTAGTCGGGGTAAAGAATAGAGAAGGGGAGATTGCTGAATAAAGATGTTTAGAGGATTATGGTATGTCGAAGGGAAGTGGAGGTGCGTCTTGTGGTTGTGCTGCCTCTGTATATATGTTTTATGGTTTTGTTTAAATGTCTGCTACTCGAAGAAGGTATTCTGATATCCTGCATGTATGCCGCGTACCTGAAGAAGAAGAAAAAAAAAAATACTTTCAGCAATAAAAACGTAAAATAGCTGTATGTAAATTTGCTCGTCTCCTTTCAACAGTGTTCATTTTTGATATAAATCATTGGATGGAACAACATTGGCCTCACCTAAAGGATTTGTTGAATTGTTTCAACGTTGGTCTCAGGTTGAGCAACATTTTGATGAACTGTTGCTGCCTCATTCCCTGTTTTCCCAGTAAACCCATGTACATCGTAAATCAATCAATATATAGGAAGGAGCTCATGTTAGAATTGTTTTATTAAGTGGAATCTCTCTAACAATTTTTTGTTTCTTAAACAGAGAGGCCCAGAATGGTATTTTACAGAGCTTCTACGGCGTACCGTACCAGGTTTTTTTGGTTCTATCTAACTCATTCATTTACCTTGTAAAATGGATTGCAAGTGTTCAAAACTTCCCATGCCAACAATCTGGAGTGGAAGGCTGGTACTAAATATCCGAATCTTACACAAAAACAGTAGTTTCTATTTGTTTCTCCAATGATTCTTCCTTTGGTCTTCAAGGGTTGTCGATGCTTTCATTGACATTATTTTTTGATTGAAATAAAAGCTCCATGTTCTTTTATGATCCATCAGTATCTATTTGTCTTTCACAAGCAGATTCACATCTGCTTGGTTTTATCCTGCTGAGAATGTAATTATAACCAACCAGGGTATGCTTGTGGCGGATGAACATGGACTATAAGATCTGCGTGGCTGTGAGTAATTGTTGATGCCATGCTTGTGGCAGATGAACATGGACTATAAGTAAGATCTGCGTGGCTGTGAGGTAATTGTTGATGCCATGTGCCTCGATCATTATAAGATCCCTGCTTACTCTTTTGATTTCTGCAGCACTTGAAGTGAGAAGCAAGGCGGCAAGGGACGACTCGAAGATAGTGGAAGCCCACCTCCTCGGTCGGTTGGTGTTGCTCCCATCATGTGCTGCTTCTACTGCATCTAACTAATATATGTTCTCATTCGTTGTTATCGATGTGTTTACTCTGACCTCTTACCAGGATCATCATGTGTTTGCACGTTCATGCGAGCCACTTGGGTGTACCGTTCGAGTGGGAAAGACGTAGGGACGGAGAGAGAATGAGAAAGAAAAAGGGAGGAAGCAACCTCTCTATCACAAAAGCTGTACGGTTTGTTACTAACTTGGCACGTCATGTATTGCATGTTCCCTTTGCTTCTCATCTTATCGAGTCGGTGGTGAGTCCGTTTCAGGTGGCGCTGCTTGTGGGGCGAAGATAGGAAGGAAAGATGGCAGGAGTGGAGTATGTAGGGTTGTTGCTGTTCACTCACTGAATCTTGACTTTGAGGTGGACCATCGATGATGGGATTGAGACACGGTGTCTGCCTATGGCCATCATCGGCAAGGCCCCAACTCTTACTACACATCATGCTGTAGGAAGGCTCTTGACGTTATCGGAAGATAAGTTGCACCAGCTGGGGTGGGTGTTGGTGAGCCAATAGGTTGTCTCCGAGTGTTTATTTGGGAAGTTGAATGGTGTGGGTTGTCCACACATTTTATACTCTGTCAATGCTTGCACAATAAGATCCTTTAATAACACTAAAAAGAAAGAAATGTGTTGGTATTTCTGACCGTCTATTTACTTACGTACATGTTGAAAGACTCATGAACAGATGATGTCTGTTGATTCACACCCTCGGTGGTCTGCATAATATTTCATAAGAAAGCCAATGGAATTTCCTCAATATCCTGAGATCTAATTAGATATTTCGTACTGACAGGTGGCCTTTCAAGCTGGCCATGCTCCTTGGCAAACACTTGTCGATTCTTAATCCTCCACAGAGTTCCAGATGCATCGTTTCCTGAAAAAAAGAAAGGTATCATTCTTATTGAAGTGACAGTCTTATCCCTGAATTAGTCTATAAGATCTATAATCCTCTTTGCAAGCACTCGTAAGAAATATCAGTTAGAAGCCTGGGCCGACCTCCTCTGGTTTCTTTGCCATCCTCTCTCACTCTAATTAGTTTCGTATCGAGAGTAAATAAAACTAGGATTGATTTATAAGAGGATATGATGATTGTATCGGAGCTCGAGTAGGAAAAAACTATATGTGGATGAAGTTAGATGACTCATCATGATGTCGAGTCATTATTGGGCTATGCCTCACATGCATCATGTTACATCAGGCTCCGATCATGATATTTGGCATCACGACCAATGGATGAAGTTAGACTTGTTATGACGTTGAGCTATATGTATCATGCTAGGGTTTGATCTGAACTATGTTGGATCTTGACGAGAACGTTAAGGCCCCATGAGTGAGGAAAATTATAACAACCCAATTAGTTCCACGTTAGAAGTGGACAAAACTAATTTGAACTTATAAGGGATAAGTACACTACTATTAACTTCAGCTTATGCATTTTGATAAATGATTTGAACTAAACAAACGAGGTTGATAGATTAGCCCATCAATCCTGAATTGTAAAAAATGAATTAATATTATAGTAATTTTAAAGAACAAGTTTCTAATTTAGTTGATGCAATATAAAATCTAGAGACCAGTGACACTTGATGATATAACGAGTTAACAGTGCGTGCTGAAGCTCTTTTTCTTGGTATAATGGAGTTCTAAGAGTGGATAAAATCTCAAATTTTAATTACTCAATTTGCTAAAATTAAAGAAAACCTGCATAATAACATAATAATAGCACCTGTATCAATGTGATCATCAATTACCCGGATCTATCATCCAAGTCTAAAAAATAAAATTTCACATAGGATGGATCATCGACAACTCTGGATGAATTTTCATCCATATATTTAGTTCCTACCTTAGATCACATTTACAAACATATTTAGAGTCATATAGTTTGAGTTGTGGATATGGATAAGATTGGAACAGTTCTTATTCTGTTAGGATTCATGTTTGAAGATCCTAAACATCTCTTTATTTCAAGAAAAAAAAAATCTTAAAGAAGGAAAGAAAGATTGTTATGGGTACTAAACGCCTCTTTATCTAATGTGATAGATAATTCTATGTTAATTCAAGAAAAAAAGATCCTAAAGAAGATTGTGATCATATCTCTCTTAAAATCGACAAATAATGAGATGCTTAATTAAAAATTAACATTAGTTAGTACTATTGTATTTTAATCATATAGCAAAAAATTATTTGGCTTTGTGCCTCAGTGTGGCGAATGTGATTTTGATCGAACGGGTACAAATAAACCTTCCAATTGGTGGACCTTTCGTCAAACTAGAAGCTCTTTCTTCTTCTTCGATCCGATCACATTCACTTTTAGGAGCTTAAACGTCTTCTTCTGCTTATGGAGTTACATATCTCTTGTATAATAAAATACTTGGTTAAATATCATCAAATGGCTAGAAGAGTAAGATTTTTAGGAGCTCAAACATCTCTTGATGTTTCAGCAGTGCTGAACACATCCTCAAATTCCTCAACCCTCACGATCGATCATTTAACATATCAGATTACTTTAATAACAACCAGAGATCCTTGCAGGAGTTGTTAGACATTGTTTATAGTGTTTGTGTAATTGGTCCTAAGATTAGTCCAGGAGAATGGTCTATCATTCTGTCATCAGATTCAGAAGCAAAAAAAAAAAAAAAAAACGTTGCTTCTGAAATTTGTGTTTCCTTCTCAATCAATCAATACAAAGAGAACAAGTGAGATTATGACATTTCGACAAAATTAACACACAATCGTATCAGCTAAGGATATCTCCCAACATCTAAATAAAGATAACAAGAAAAACCATATTTCTAAAAAGAACAAATGATTCATTAGAAACTTCATATTTTTAGTAAATGGAGATTGAGATGGAGGGATTGGATTATGAGTGTATGGAAATTTCACTCTTTTTTTAAGTGCTCAAGTGAAGCACAAACTGTTTTCCCTTCTCATTCCAAGAATGAAAATGAATGGTTGACTTTCAAGCTTTATTTATATAACAGATGTAATAACTTTTAAATAAAAATAATACCTATTAAAGATCATGGAGAGATTTTGTTAATATATTTTTAACTGTTGTATACATCCACAGCTCTCTCTCTGGTAATGCTCTAAACTAATTATTTTCAGTTCTAATTATTATATTAAAAATTAGGAAAAAGTTATGCAAGTCAACTGCTTTTAACTTTCTGCAGCTTCTGAGGAAGCTTATCCCAAATGCTTCATCTTATCATATGTATAGTTTCTCTCCTTTTTTTTCTTTTGGTTCTTCTATCCCTCTTTTCTGGACCAAGACATGTAAATGTTATTTTATCTTCTTCCATAACAGGGATCCAATCAACCTCCTGAATTGACTACCACTTCACCAAAACCTGTTTGCCAGCGATCATTCCACTCCAAAATGTTGCTCCGACATCCAGCGAAAAGGCCAGCAGAAGCAACATGCGCTCTCAAGTGTTCCAGCCAGCCAATGTAGTCGGTCTTAGATATCCATCCATCTTAGGATGGCCAGCAAAAAGGCCTTTCACTGCCAAGAAAAAGGCAGGCATATGAGACACATGTCCTAAATGTAGGAGGCATCATAGGGAAACACTCACTCGAGTGCACAAAAAGAAACAGTCGCAAGTGCCATCATACTTCCAGTTCTATGTTTCGTAGTTTGTACTGTAGTAAATCTAGTTGTATCAAGGATCAATATCTTCTTCAATCATTATAGTAGTACCCTGTATTATCTATCATTAGCAAATTGCTGGCTTTTGATAGGCTATGCGCTTCACCAATAGTGCTTCCATCGGAACAATAGCTAATTGCTAGCTTAGCTATTATGTGTTATGATAACTCACCTGAAACAAAAACTAAACTGTATCTTGATTTGGTCATTCTGGTTGTTAGTCTGATATTTGCTATCATCTTCGAGTCAAAAAAGACAAAACATGTTTGATACTAACTACGTGAAAATCCCAACTTAGATTGCCTCTGGTGAGTATAGTAGAGTGAATCAATAGGATCTGAAGAAACTTGCTTCTGTTATCTGAATATTGGAGAGAGAAATAACTCTGGCTGTGAACCCGAATCACAAATCCAGAATGCACAGTCTTCTTCACTTGGTGTTTTATTTGGGTAAAACCATGTTTTAGATTAATGCGAATCTAATTTTGAACTAGAAACTTGTGTGGATGCTGAAAAATTCAGAAACAAAACTGGGAGAAAGTAGAACACGATATTTTCCAATGAATTTTGTGACACTTGTTAATTAATGATTCGAAAGGCACCTGGACAAGTCGAGAACTTCTCCTCCTACTTGAT